TGCCGGAATAATAATAATAATAATAATAATAATAATAATAACAAAAATAATAATAAGAAGAAGAAGAATATATTAACTTTATTTTGATATTTAATGAGCTTCCGATAGCTATGAATAATTAATGATTAATTTGTTTATGATCGATTTCATCATGATTCTTCAGTTAAGCTTAAAGAGGAATTATATATTCTTATACCTCAAAGAGAAAGTCAAATAATTTTATATAAATTTCGGATAATTCCAGTATTATATCTTTAATAATTTCTAAGAATCAACGGTTCAAATCTTAATCTAACAATTGGACAAATTTACTGTTACAGAGTTTGGGTAATTTTGTTGTTACATCCTAAATAAATAAATAAATAAATAAATGAATAACTCTGAAATTATAGAATTATGTACAAAATGTCTGTAGTTAAAGGTATAAACTTACAGACAAAATATTTAGATTTTGGCATTAGAAAATCCATAGAGTTTAATATGCCTTATAACAAAATCAACCAACGAATAAATTTCCTTTCTTGCTCTATATTTTCTCATAATGACTTCAACTTGGTTTTCCCTCATTTTTCTCATTTTATTTCTGTCCTTTTCTTAATTCTAATATTGATGAGATCTTCAGTCTTAACCATTTCTTTAAGGTACTGTAGCAAATCAAAATATTGATTATATCATTATTTCAGTTTTATGTCTTTGAATGATGAGATTTCTGTTATCATTCATTTTTAACATTTTATCAGTAACCCTTTGCCTTCTTGGGGATAATTTTTAGTACAACAAATATACATTTCGATAAATGTTTTAATTAATGATTATTAAATGTTATTCAAATCTTATTGTGGATCATTTATGGACTAGAATTCTTCATAGTCACGGTTTTCTCTGCGGCAAACTACGAAATAAACAAATCATAAGCATTACTCAATAATGCGTATGTGCCCTGGTACTGTGAATATGGATACGCCCAAGTGAGGTGAAATCTATTGATGTTTATTTTTCTTTATTTTTAATCTTTTTACACCAAGAAAATTATTAAGACGCACGGGGTTAATGAGGGTGAAATAGAATAGGAAACTGTAATGAAGAGAAAGGAAATTATAATATCAGGATTGCCTTGTATTCATAATTATGAAGATTATCGGTGACAGGGAAGTAAGGACCCGGAAGAGAGTGCCACCGTGCGAGATAATAAACTATTATATTACGATTATAGTTGCATCAAGCCATTTCAACGGTAAGAAGAGACCTAGTAATTCCTGAGATGGCAGGGCAAAGGAGGAAAGTACATTAGAATAACTGGAATGGTAATAATGTTTAGAAAAGACAGAGAGCGCCAACGTCAAGATGGTGGAAAATAACTAACGTTAAGCTATCAGACCAGAATCAATAAACTTAAAGAGCATGTGTTTTTGTCAAGAATTTCAAGATATATAGCATGTATACCAGACTACATATAATAGATTCAACGCAGATAGGAATGATAAATATATAAATGTGCCAGATGAATTCTGACGAGAAAAGCAATATGGCATGACACAGGAAACAAATATTCCTTGTAGCAAACCTAGCAATGGCTTCAATATTAAAGAAATAAAATCCATCTGATAAGTTTGCAAAGATCTACCAGAACAAAGATTTTTTTTTAAATAATTTAAATTGTCCTATTATTATTTGTGTTATCACTTATTGTGCATCATTTATAAATTAATATTCATCATAATTACTGTTGCACGCGCAAAATATCTTTATTTATAAAAGGCAGGATCTGTGTGTGTGTGTGTGTGTGTGTGTGTGTGTGTGTGTGTGTGTGTGTGTGTGTGTGTGTCTGTGTAACGAATGCACGGCCGGAATTTTCAACGGATTTGCACCAAAATTTACATGCACAGGCTCCAAGTTAGTAGAAAGGCCACCCCGACTTTGCATTTCCCAACTCCCATCGATAGTGAAAATAATCGAATTTTTCATGCTTATACGGCAGTTTTCATGTAGTTTGCGGCCATTTTGTACTGGCCAGAGTGAGAGCCAATAGCTGGCTGCCACGAATAGGAAGGAAGATTCTATTGGTCAGCGTGAAAGCCAACAGCTGACTGACACGAATGTTAACTAGCATGCTAGCATGCAAAAAATCGATAGCTGCATTCGTCACAAGTGGGAAAAATTTAAATCTGCATGGCACTTTACTGAAATTGGCTCATTCGATTGCTCAAACTCAACGTAGATTCTTATTCCGCAAAACTCGGTTGGATGTGAAAAAGTATTTGTTCATTCGGTTTTTCCAGTTACGAGTCCTTTTTTAAAGCTGATCGTTTTGTGTTCATTTTGTTTAGTTCTTTTTTTGTAACAGATTTAATGTTTAGTATAGAGCTTAGAAAAAATTAGCAGTGTGAGATAGGCAAGAAGTAAGGCATGTAGCAACATTAGTACGACAAAGGGCACTCCTTTAAAGGCAAGGAAGGGCAAAAATATTTTAAGTCAAGTGATAGCGATTGCTGTATGAGTCGTACGATTTTTTAATCAAGCACGGGCAAGGCCGGAATATGCTGCTAGATATATATATAAACGTCTACTGTATACATTGTTTCATTTATGCTATACGGGATGGAGAATATATCCTAACGAACAAGTTTTGGGTTCTATATATAAATCATTTTTTTACATTTATATCAAAGTGGTTTGGCGTCAGGGAATGTTAAGCATTTTGTCCCTAAAATGAAGTTTATGTCAGATCAATCTTCGTTGACACTATCTACAGCATGGTTGGGACTTCGGCGATTAACCGGTCTCCAATTCTTTTTTATTTTTTATTTTTTATTTTTTTTTTGGTGAGGGGAAAGACAAGACGTCAAGCCAGTTCAAAACACCGCCAATCAAAGGGTGGATGAAATCTCTTGAAGGTTCATCAGGCCAACATTCACAGTTTAGTAGATCCGGCGCTCACGCGATATATGTAGCCACTGCGGTTACAAGACGGCCTTGCTCGTTGGCGGGATTATTATAGTGAACATTCAGAACTGAGGCTTTACCCATGAGCACGTGAACAAGGTGGATATTTAACTGGGGCCGGGCATTGGCTGTGATGTAACAAAGAGAAGGATAGGACCCGGCTAGCATACCACAGAATCTCTGGTTTCAAACTTAGTAATGTGGATACATCTGGTCAACCTATTCGATGCACAGATCATGAGACTGAGGATGATATATATATATATATATATATATATATATATATATATATATATATATATATATATATATATATAAGTATAAAATAAGTGTTATACTTGTGTTTTGATTGGTCATTCTAGCTTTTTGTAAAAGTGTTTCCACTTACGAAGGATCGTTAATTAATTTGAAACTTTTAAAAACCATTTATTTTACATTCAACATCATCATTTGATAAGACACTGGAGGTGTTTAAACAAAATGGCTATTTTTGCAGTGATTTTATAACATATTTATCTTATAATTTTTAAATAAGTATTCATATATATATATATATATATATATATATATATATATATATATATATATATATATATATATCTGTGTGTGTGTGTGTGTGTGTGTGTAGAAAAATATGAAAGAACACGTTTGGTAATAATCCAGATTTCTTTAATATTTTTTTGTTTTATTTCTTTATTTTTAAAAACAGTGCTCCATACAGAAGTAGAGCTTAAATTATAAATATTTTTTTTATAATATGATTCCTTCGCTACGTAAGAGTTCTCATGCTTAAAAAACGAGAGCCGAAACCCTCATTATAATTATTAAAATTAAATTGAATTAAAGTAACAAGCCCTGTTTCATCCTCAAGCGAAAATTTAAGAATATATATATATATATATATATATATATATATATATATATATATATATATATATATATATATATATCTTGGTAAAGGGCAAACGGGTTTTAGATCTAAGCCACAGATCTCTCGTCGGTAATAAAACTTCGTGTGCCCTAATTTTGTTCCACAGTCAAAACTCCATTCTATGACGTAGTTTTAGTTGACATCCAAGACCCAGTACAGGGTGCGGTAGATGAATTATCGCCTAAATTAGACAAAAATGGAAATAACACTGACAGATATATTTACCAAAATTGATCATAAAAGTGCTCAATAGAATAAGTAGAGCAAAATTAAAATACCTAAAGACAAACTATCTACTATAGAATTATATATATATATATATATATATATATATATATATATATATATATATATATATATATATATAATTTAATGTTATGTTATTTCAGTGTGTAACAATTTTCATTAAATTCAACCAAGAAGATATCAAAACCGCGTGTCTATGACCTAGGCGAACATTTAACTGAGATCATATCATTTGGTTTAAGCTGGAGGGTGATTGTCTCATCCAGGTTTATTTGCCTGAGATCCGCGACGTATTGTGATTTTATAAGCGTAGGTTAGATGTGGCACAAGGCCGAAAATATGGGTAACCGGGTGAGAATCGAACTCAGAGATACGCTACACGTGAGTAAATAACTGTGGCTTCTAAACAAGTCATTGAAGTGAACTGGTCAGGTGGTCTGCTGCGCGGAAAACCGATGACCATATCCAGACATCGGGCTAAAGATGTAATGATGACCTAAAAACATTAGGAAATTTTGACATCAACTGCTTTTAATAAAGTCTGTCTCCTGCCATCCTTTGATGTACTATTGTAATAACTTGCTTAGTAGAAAAAGTTCGGCTTCTCACAAGAAACAGACTATGAATTTCACACCCAAAGGTGAAACAAAGCAAAAGTAGCATTTTTTTTCCTCTCTGGACCTGATTGTCTGTAAATCAATGTTTCCTGTATGCATCCGCTGATGAATATTGATGTTAACGACTCTCCGTGTGTATTGATCCTAACGAATGTTAATTAATGTTTGTTTTTGCCGACCATCCCTTTTTCCTCCCATACATATCTCCAATGATTTGTTAATTATTAATTCATCACAAAGTAATTGGCTGGAAACAGGCCGCTATGATGCGGAGGTGAGAAGCCGGCCGACCGCCAATAGTCACTTGGACAATGACCAGCCAAACTGATTAGCTTTCGGGAGTTTCTTAGGTAAAGAGAAAAAAAAATATTTCTACTGTCTTTCAGTTGTCTAAAGTTTTTCTTCTTGTATTATTTCGTTGTTTAGCTTTATTTTATCCATGAATTTTCTTTTGTCTTTTTCTTTATCTTTCTTATTTTTAGCACACAGTTTCTCAGTATTAGTGCCTTCTTTAACTTCCTTCTTTTCTTTCCTCCTCCCTTTCATTTATTCGTTCTTTCTTCTTTTTTTTTTCATTTTTGTTATTGGGTTTTTACTGTTTTTTGTTTCACATTTTTTTTTTAATTTTCTTCCTTTTTCCTTAAATTTCTCTTTCTTTCCTCCTTTTTACATTTTCTCGTTATCGTTTTAAATTTAGTTTACTTTTCTCATCCTTTCTTATTTTTCCTTGTTTCGTTTTTTTGTCATGATTTTCTTCTTTTCTTCATTCTCTTTTTCTTTCTTTCTTTCTTACTTTCTTTCTTTCTTACTTTCTTATATTTTCCCATGAAAAGTATAAGCTTCAATTTTTTTCATTATTGCTTTCATTTTCATTTATCGTCTGTTCATTTTCATTGTCATTTTTTCTTCGATTACTTTCTTTACTTTCTTCCTGGTTGTATTTTTTCCTTCTTTCTTTTTCCTTTTTTATTTCTTTTCATACTTTTTAATACCAACGCTTTTAGCTTCGATTTGATATTTGCGTTAATGTCTTCCAATTTTCTTTCTTTCTTTCTTTTGTCTCTTTGCACTCATTTTTTTTCAAATTTTTCCTTAATTCCTTGCTTCGACATCGAAC